AAATACACAAAACAATATGACAATATATACACAAAATATGAAAATTCCAATTCTCATATATAAATACAATTTTCAACTGGTCATTAAAAATGTTTTACTTTTCATAAAGTCTAATAGTCTGTGAATGTTTACTTTGAGGAACTGAACAAGAGTGGTTTTAAGTCTTGCGGATTCCCTGAGAAAAATCGTTTTCCAACGAAACAGGAAAGAGGGAGGGATTCGCGGCCGATGCGAGCAAACGAGCGGTGCTCACCGCGATAAGCAGTGCAAATTTGTTTCTCGTGGCTGTAAAAAAAATTGCGGGTGAAAAATTTACGCGTTAAAATATTAGCGTAGAATACGACGTCCCCGGTATCTCGCCGCGCGAAAACATCTCCTAGGTCCCCGATAGGGGGATGTGTACTCAGGTCGTTTACCCAACGGTAAGTAACATGAGTATAAAGGGATGGCCCGATCGCGGCGACTCGGCCGTTTCGTTTAAACTTTACCTCGGTATGGAGACGCGGACGTTCTGCTTCGTCGCCGTTTTCCTCGCGACGTTCGCGACGACCACCCCTGAGTCGCTGGACACGAGCACAGAGGAGGCACTCGTGGCATCCGAGGCGCAAAACGTTCTCGACGAATGCCAGAACTCGGATTACAGGACCTACATAAAGTGTCTGAAGAGACAGAAGAGGCATCATTTCCCGCACTCAGACTTCGGTTAGATCATACTACAGTTTGATTCGAAAAGAATATTCTTTGGACCAGTTAATCGTAACTCGGAGCTCGTCTCTCTCTTGTCTAATTAGTGCGATTGTTAAATGTTAACACGTTACATTTTGTCAAGATCCCACCTGTTTGGATTCGTGTCCAAAGAGGTGTCACACGGAGCACGAGTGTGAGATGAAATGTGGTCATTGTATGAGAAAGACGAAGCACAGGCATCAGATAATCACAGAATACGAGACTGAATGCTCCTCTGGAGAGTGCCGCAACACGACTTCTAGTGACAAAGAATTAGGAAGCACTAATATTACCACCAAGATCGACATCCACAACGTCATTAATAATAACGTAACAAGTATGTTGCCAATTATATAATTTTGTCAAGTATTTTTTTCCTTCAAGAGTGCTGCGAATTGAGTTATTTTATTTCTCATAAGTTTTTCGTTTCTTCATTACTACTTTATATTACTATTAATATGATTGTCCTTTTTTTTATTTAGCTCAATGCACAACACCTGATTGTTCTGTAATTAAACCTCCTCCTCAGCCGCCTGTTCCCCCTACTGTCTACCCTCCTCCTGTCCCACCAACTATTCACCCTCCTATCCCTTCTGATTGTGTATATCCTCCTCCTTTTCCTTGCTATCCTTACCCCCCCATTTACCCTCAGTATCAACCCTCAGTATCACAGATATCGACTCAATTGCTACTAGCATTGCCGGTAACCACCGGAACTGGTGCCAATGTCAATCAGGGTCTATGTGGATACTCTAATCAATGGCCTTGCCTTCCGGTAAGTTTCGGTTCACTTTGATAATCAATATAGACCGCGAATTTGTATGGGAAATAATATTTTTCTAATATTAATTTAAATAGCAGTCTGTTCACTTTAGATATTCTGTATGTCCTCTAGTATTACATACACTTTTTTATATTTTCTATAGATGTAGTTTTCCTACGAATGCATGAAACTCGCAGTCTACTTATAACTTTTCTGATTTATGGTATTATTATGAGTCTTGTCGCTGCTGGACGTTAATCTTATTTTATGCTTCTTATAGAATTGGGGTTGGGGGTACAGGCACGGTGCATCCATCGATTGTTCAGGCTGTTGGCACCCTTCTTATCACTACAAGTGTGACACGCAATGTTACAATAACAGACCATCAAGCTCGTGTACGAGTCCAAATTGCGGTGGTTATACGATCGTCAATTAGTAATAGGTACTTCGTTTTGCAGATCATTAGATGCTACGAATATTTCGCGTCAGGGTTCTCATAATTTTTCCCGCACTGCTCGCTTCCCCTCTTTTTCGCCCGTATTTCGATCCCCACTACTATTCTTTTCATGCGTCTTCGCTGACCATGCCTATACCACCATGGTCGCGTCGTCCCCACTTTCCGGCCGAGGGAAAAATTATAAGAACCCTGTTTCGCGTTCATATTTTTACCGAGGCTGAGAGTGACGAAATATTGCCACGAAAATCCCAATACGCACGCTTTAATTTATCTTGACATGATAGGAGTATTGTTACATATGAATACAATCGTCTCTCGGTATACAATAATATATTACAATGTAGGAATAATATAATATAATACAGGACGTGAATCAATACAAAATACCACATACAATATTGTTCTTTAACGATTTTGTTATAATATTCAGTATATAAGTTCATTATAATAAAAATGTTAACATTATTAAAAGTTATATTACTGATACTCTGCCTCAAGAACTGGAAACACTCTTTGCACCTAAGGACGCAACCATCCTAACGTAAGCATGCAAATGATTGCATACTCTATAGAACACATTACATTTTCAAACGTAACAATAATAATCGTATGAACATATGTATGTGAATTTCAAACGTATCGCATTTTGGAAAATATGGTCGCTAGAAATGCGAAGCCCGATGGTGGCATTTCGTTTAATCTTGCGGCAAGATGATGGGTGCAATTGATGACGCCCTCCGTTGTTGAACCCCTGCGGAGTAGCGAGGCTTGACGTGTCAGGTGTCAGGGACAGGTGCTAAAGTTCCGTTCAGATGCACACCACCGCTATTACAGAAAAGCCAACGTAGAATCGTTTCTTACGTTCGATAAAATATAAGATCCTTGTGGGTAGATTTTTATATAAATACTCGAACTTGAATATTTCTATTAATAAATAGTATGTTTCTTTTTTATTATGTTTGGAAATTCATTTTTTAAGCTGCTTCAATGTAACGAATAAATGGTAAAAAATTACAAACGTCAGATCGTATGGAGAATGATTATAACCAGTTAATCTCACGGTGCTGCATGAAGTTACATAAATCGGAGGGGAGAAATGCAACGAACGACTTGAGAAGATCCCGAATCGGCCGATTGAAAATATCTCAGAGACGCGGAGCCCATTATACGCGTTTCGCAATACGTTGGATAATGTTGGATAATAGCGAAAGTGGTCGCAGCATCCTGCCGTGGGAATGGCAACTCGTTTTCTCCTACTCGCCGCATCCATTCCAGCGGCAGACGAGATTCTTTTCTAAGCGGAAAGTTATTAGAAGAAGTATTCCGACGTCGCGGAAGGGTTCACGACCGCAATGCTTTATCGACGTTCCGAGAACGCATTCTGTGCAAACAATTTTCATTCTGCCTCACGTTCACCATTGTCCACGTTTTCGTCCAAGTCCCACATACATCACGATTATATCACGAAGACTAAACTTTTGTTAAGAATATATGAGAAAGTTTTTAAATAAAAATCGTCAGTTTCGTATCTTCCTACCTGATACAATAGCGTGGATCAATTGTATGTTCGATAGAATTGTAGTGTGCATTAGTAAACGGATTCTCAGATATGTTCGTAAACGGAGACACATACGTTGTAATTGTATTGTTACGCGAAGAGAAGTGCGCGGGGGAAGGTTTCATCAGCGCACGTATTTCTTCTCGACGCGATAAGCCATTTTATTCCCGGTGAGGAACGTCGAACAATAAAGTTTACTGCGGGATACTAGCCGCGTCGAAGGGAACCAGAGATCCTTTCTTCTCGCCGAGAAATCGTTTCACGCGACCTGCACTTGATCCTGGGATAAGGACAGCTACCTTGGCTGACGTGCAGGGAAATCCAGTTTAATAGTTAGTAGAGTTAATGTTAAAAAATCTGTTGTAATCATTTTAAATAAATTTAATTTCTCTCCAAATTCGATTTAAATTATCCTTCCTTAAAGTATAATTTTAATATAGAAAAGGGTATTTGCATTATTGAATCAAATAAGATAGAATTTTATTATAGCATCTTGAGTGAAAATTTTCTATTACGACACCCTTGTGAGGATCTCAAAGAGGAAGTGCCCATCCTATAGATTACAGTGTTGCGCTTGCACGGACGCTTATGTATGTCGAAAAAAATTTGCATCGAATGGCGGACCGGGTACGCCAATAATATCTATGCTCGTGTGGCCGAGCAATCCCTTTCAATCTTCCTACACCATTTTCCCCGTCGCCGTTACAAATTACGGAACGTTATCTAAATAGTATCGCGTAGTACACGGACACGAAATTGCTCATGCACTACACTTTGTTTCCTCAAACGTAGACCCATTTCGCACCAAATAGTAGTAATCAAGCAATTAATTAAATTCACCTTTAATGCATGCATAATCTCAGATTGTCTAAAAGATAGAGGACGTGTATTTTACTGCAACACATTTAATGCCATGCAATACTCCATTTTTATTTCTCCTGTATTTATTCATAACAGAAATGGTCTGTAATTTATAATGTATTTTTTAATAGTGTTTCACATTAACACACTTAAAATATTTTAATCTCCTATTACATTGAGTCGTTTCCATCCCCTAGACTCATTGCAAGCTATATTCAGTATAATATATTTTATCCATAAAAGAGGCGGTCTATAGATGGTAAGATTTTAATATTAAGAAAGCTAAAATATTTTAATATACTAGTATATTCAGTTTTTATCCTGATGACTTATACGACCGGAATCATCCTCGTTTTAATCTACACCTGGCGTACGATCTAACTTCGTCGGGTTTATAGAACAAACGAACAACGTCGATTAGACCACCCACGGATCCAGCCAGCTGGCCTCCACCATCGACGAAACTCGTCGAACTCGTGAGACCTGAATATCCGACTTCCGCCATGTCCTCGTTACCCCCGCGAAGAAACTGGACATTAAATTTTCACGGTCCGATGCCGCCGAACGTAGGCCCTTCCTACCTACCATTTAGACCGGAGGTCCTCCAAGACGCCGCATATGGCACACGCGAAATAGGCCCACGGAGGTCCCAATTAAATAACTTACTCGTGCGTCCTAATACGTACCGTTAAAAAATTAATAAAGACGATGGAACGATAAGAGACTTTAGAGAAAACGCTTGACGAATCAAACTGGACTGTTATTATTACATTAAATTAATATAAGTATTTTTTAAAAACTTTTGTCAAATTTGATTTTCTTATCTTCATTTATTGACGAAGAAATGCAAAATAAAGGAAACACCCTATGCACATGTCTACTGGTTTGCCCCTTTAATATGCCACGATCAAAAAGTATAACGCGCCGTTACACAAAGGCGTCTTTCGTTCCACGGGGGTCTACAACACTTCACGGGAGTTCCTTCTGAAGGAGTTTTAACAACGTTTCCTTATGGGACATTCGCGTTCGATGGGTGGAAGTAATCCATGCAGATTGTCCAGATGGAATCCGCTAGTTGGATGGCCGAGCCGTTAAAGAGGTTTGTTAACATCTTCCAGATTCCTTACTTTATCGTACACTGAATCCATGTAACTGCAAATTTAAATTTCATGTTGCTATCAAGTGTTGCGATTGCTTTTCTGAGATTCATCATAAGAGCTTCAGAAATCATACCGGTTTTCTCATCTGTTTATACATATAGTTATAAATAGGTTTTTACAGAATAAAACATTTTTTATTTCAACTTAAAGAATGTACAA